TTTATGGCAGTCCCTCTCGATGATTTTCAGGTAATCCTTGGACTGCAATTCCTTACAAAGGCAATGGTGTCTGTGATGCCGCATTTAAATGGGATGTTCGTGATGGACATGCCCAATCCTTGTTTTGTTCCCCTCACCAAAGTCAAGTCTTCGGGGGAAATGTTGTCTGCCTTACAAGTAAAAGATGGCTTGCGAAAATGGGAGGCAACATACTTGGCTGTTCTATTTGAGGAAGAGGAGTCCAAAGCATTTCAAGTCCCTGAATCAGTACAACAGTTGCTGGTTGAGTTTAAGGATGTGACACCTAAAGAATTGTCAGCAAGGTTACCGCCAAGACGGGAGATTGACCATGCCATAAAGTTAATACCAGGGGCAAAAATCCCTGCACAGGCTCCTTATCGAATGTCTCCATCAAAATTGGCGGAGCTAAGGAGACAACTTGGGGGGTTATTGGACATTGGGTTCATTCAACCTTCCAAGGCACCCTATGGAGCTCCTGTTCTGTTCAAAAGAAGAAGGATGGATCCTTACGACTTTGTGTAGACTACAGAGCGCTCAACAAAGTCACTGTCAAGAACAACTATCCAGTGCCGCTTGTCGACGAACTATTTGATAGATTGGGAAAGGCGATTTTCTTTACCAAGATGGATTTGCGGCTAGGATATCATCAAGTCAGAATTGCAGAGGGAGATGAGGCGAAGACTACTTGTGTGACAAGGTACGGGTCATATGAATTTTTAGTTATGCCTTTCGGCTTAACCAATGCCCCTGCTACATTCTGTAACTTAATGACCAATGTATTTCGGGAATACTTTGACCGCTTCATGGTAATTTATTTGGATGACATAGTTGTTTATAGCCAGACTCTTGAGGAGCATGTTGAGCATCTTAGGTTGGCCTTGACAAAGTTAAGGAAAGCCCAGTTATATCTGAAACCAGAAAAATGTGAGTTTGCCCAGAAAGAAATTTCATTCTTAGGGCATATTATTTCTGCGGGCATGGTGAAGATGGACCCGAAAAAAGTTGAGGCCATTGCAAATTGGCCTGTCCCTACTAAGGTTACTGAATTGCGTTCTTTCCTTGGTTTGGCAAACTATTATCGAAAATTCGTGAAGAATTATTCGAAGAAGGTCGCAGTGCTGACTGATCTTCTAAGGAAGGATAGGACATGGAACTGGTCCTACGAATGCCAGGAGGCATTCGATCGATTGAAGGCAGTGGTGACGTCTAGCCCAATTTTACGCTTACCTGATTTTGATTTGCCCTTTGAAGTCCATACAGACGCATCAGACTTTGCTCTTGGAGGGGTGTTGGTGTAGAATGGGTATCCAGTGGCATTTGAAAGTAGGAAGCTGAATGATACCGAGAGGCGGTATTCAGTACATGAGAAGGAGATGACAGCAGTCATTCATTGCATCAATGCATGAAGGCACTACTTGTTGGGGAAGCATTTCCTTGTACTGACAGATAATGTGGCTACTAGCTGTTTCAATTCCATGAAGAAGCTGACACCAAAACAAGCAAGATGACAGGACTTTCTTGCCCAGTTTCATTTCACGTTGCAGTATAAGCCTGACAGTGCAAATCAGGTTGCTGATGCTCTTAGTCGAATCCCAGTTGCTGATGGGACAGTTGCTACACTTAGCCAGATTGCAGGAGACATACTGCAGAGAATTCAGGATCAGACTAAAGATGATCCAGTGACCAGCTTATTGCTGAAGCAGGTTCACGAAGGGGTGACTCGGCGATTTTGGGTAGAGGATGGTGTTCTCTACGCCAAAGGTAGGAGACCCTATGTTCCGAAGTAAGGTGGACTTCGACAGATGTTGCTAAAAGAAGCTCATGATGCTCTATGGGCAGGACATCCAGGGCAGCAACAGACTCTTGCCTTGCTAGCAGAAAGTTATTATTGGCCCCGCATGGAAGCAGATGTGGAGCTGTATGTGTGCACTTGTTTGGTGTGCCAGCAGGACAAGATTGAAAGGAAGAAGGTGGCGGGTACATTGGAACCTCTCCCTATTCCAAGCCGACCTTGGGAGAGTGTTTCCATGGACTTCATTAATGGCTTGCCTCAGGTAAACGATTTTACTTCGATATTTGTGGTGGTAGACAGATTTTCGAAGTATGCCACTTTTATTGCTGCCCCAAATGTATGTACGGCGGAAGTTACTGCTCTGTTATTCCTCAAGCATATTGTGAAGCTTTGGGGTCTTCCGTTGGACATAGTGAGCGACAGGGACACTCGGTTTACTGGCCGATTCTGGACAGCTTTATTTGAGCTGTTGGGCACACAGCTCAAACTTTTCACCAGTAATCATCCGCAGACAGATGGGTAGACCGAGCGGGTTAATGCAATGCTAGAGGAATATCTCAGACATTATGTCACAGTGAACCAAGGCAATTGGGTGGATTTACTTGATGTAGCCTAGTTCAGTTATAACCTCCAACAGAGTTCGTCCACTGGAATGAGCCCCTTTGAGTTGGCAACTAGCCAACAGCCTCTTACCCCACATGAAGTAGTCAAGCAAAAGTCTCAAGGGAGATGTCCTGCGGCATATCGCTTCGCTCGGACCAATCAAGAGCGGACCGACGAAGTAAAAGACTATTTAACTAAGGCGGTGAAGAGGATAAAAAAGTGGGCAGACGAGAAGAGGAGGGCAGTAGAGTTCGAAGTAGGTGACAAAGTGATGCTGAAATTGACCCCACCAATCTGGAACAAGATCTCTCGGAAGTCTGCACACAAGGGATTAATTCAGCGTTATGACGGCCCTTTCCTAATAACAATGAGGATAGGCAGGTTGGCCTATAGGCTGGATCTTCCCAGTCGTCTCAAGCTTCATCCAGTTTTTTATGTTGCCTTCTTAAAATCGTATGTTGAGGACCCTAACAGATACGTTCGGCGTCGGGCTCCTCCAATAATCAGGAAGCAATTCACAGAAATAGCTGAAGCTATCCTTGACCACAAGACTGAGGGAATGAGTAAGAAAAATAGAAGAACTCATTATCTAGTCAAGTTGAAAGGGAAAGCACTAGAGGAAACCACTTGGGAGAAAGAGACGACATTGTGGCAGTTTGAGGATCTCATCAAGCAATACCATGCCTCCATTCCAACGAGGTCGTTGGATACTTTAGGTGGGGGTGACTTGTCACACCCTAATTGACTTGGGTGCAAATGACCAGTCTTGGTGGCACCTCGCACCAAGGCATGCCAGAAATTGGAATCAAGGTGACGCGGCTAAGTGGTTCGACAGATTGGGGCGAACCAAGGCAGCATGAGACCACCCGATTGAGTATGACAGTATGGGTGGGCTCAATTGAAGCAATGTGGGTGCAGAGCTTCGGATTGCATGGCATGAGTTGAACCCAGCATGCACATTGGTTCGAGTAGCAAGGTTGATTGGTGAATATGGGTACATGACTGCTGAATGTGGGCACCTGATTGGCACATGGCTGCTCAATGCATGTGACCAGGAGGATGTGGGCAGTTATGATGCTGAAACTCAATCAAGGCAGTTGCTGAGGCAGTTCTGGATGTCCCAAGTCTGAATCCAGTCTAGATGCATGCTGATGAAGGGGCAGTTCCACAGCAGTTACTTGAAATGGTGGAACTGCCTGCCAGGTGTTGCACAGAGACCAAGTCTACTAGTCCAGTATGCTATAGAATAGCAAAAACGTGGGTAACTACCCCTTGGCAGATGGAGGTGTCATCTGCCTTCCTCTTGTATAAATAGAGGTGCTTGAGCATTCTGGAGGGGAGAGAGTGTTCTGGATTTTGAGAGTCCTTGTAAATTGTTGAGTTCAATATATAAGGTTTGGGAGTGTTGTCCCAGTAGATTCGTGTGTGCCTTCTGTGTGAGTTTCTGTCCCTTATTCTTGAGGTGAGTGTGGCTGGTTGTAATAGCAACGCCTTCACAGGTAGCCTCAAAAGAAAAACGAAAGTTACCCTGTGACAATAATGATGCTGAATGTCTAATGTTTTGCCTCTAAGGGTGCATGGGAAAAGGATTCAACCTTGGCACCCAGATTTGGAATTGCTCCAATGCCGTGACAAAATATTATCTTGAGAGTTGTACTTAAGTCATGTTGAACTTTTACTGCTCTTTAATAGTTGCTAGTTTGCCAAATGGGATATCTAGATTGGATTTGACTTGATTATATGGAACTGGATTGGTTTACATTGGTGTTCAAATAGGTTTTGGAGTGGATTGAACCCAATGTGGATATCTTGTCCATATTATGAAATAAAAGTGTTGATTTGTTTGAAAACAAAAAATGAGTTATTATAAAACATATTTAGGATAAAACTTGAAATAGTTATCAAACATGTTTTTTTTTTATTCTCATAATTTGATAGACAAAAATGATTACTAAACATGTTTTCTGTTTCACTGTTTACCACAAAACAGAGACAAAAAATTGTCTCTGTTTTTGGTTTTTTGAAGACGCAAAAATAAAAACGTTACCAAACGACCCCTAAGTAATTAAGTGATAAACTTCAGGAGACTGAGTGTAATTCTCCCAAAAACTTAATATTAATTGAGTCAAAGTTAAGAGCGTTAAAATATAATTTACCATTATTTTTTTGGCACAAAATCAATTACAAAAAAAAAGAAAATAATCAACATTTTCTTTTCAAAAAATTTTATTTTGTTTTTAAAATTAAAAAATAAATTTAATATTCGAGAAAAAAACTCTAGTTAAGGTATTGCATTGTACAAAACAATTAAATTATTTTTTGACAATCAATTATGCATTGTTTAGAGTGTATTTAAATTGAATTAAAAAAAGTGGTTTTTTGAACTTTTAACTTATTATAAGCATTTTCAAAAAAAAATAGTATTTAGGATTACTTATTAAAAGTAATTTTAAAAAAATTAAAATTATTTTATTACTTAAATAAGTTCAAAAATAAAAATTAAAAAATAAAATTTTTACTTATCCAAAATGACTTCTGACAATTCATTTTTATCTTTATTTTTTTCCTTCTTACCTTCGCGACTCTCTCCGTACCCTCTCGCTGCGAACGTCTAAAGGCTTCCACTTTGGTGATGACCATCGATGACGATGCCAAAGAGGTAGGAGATCCCCGGCGACTATACTGCTCTGTTCTCTTTTCTGTCTTCGTTCCTTCTTCCATTTTGGTGACCATCGACGACGATGCCGAAGAGTTAGGAGATTGTTGCTCTGTTTTCTCTTATGTCCTCGTTCTTTTGGAGTTATTGGATATCCCAATTCATCTCGAACACGTATGAACTTGGATTTATATATTATGTCCGAGTCAATGTTTTTTGGGCACTGCGCTTTCGCTTATGAATGGTCCATGCTTGTATATGTTGGATGCGGAGAAGATGTTTGACAGAATGTGTGAAAGAACTATTTTTACTAAATCAACCAACACAAAAGATGATTGAGTTGTATCATAGAAATACGTTTGGGAACAGATTTGCCTGAGGATTTCACTGTTATTTGTATAATTAATTGAGACATGTGGTGGTGGGCTCAAGGATCTTGCCGTGGGATTGAAATTCATGGCAATATCTAATGCTGTGACTGTCAATGGATCTTGGTCTCGCTGATTTCATGACCTACTGTTCTTTTAGCACAAAGCACTTCTACATGCATGTGATTATATTGTTTCTTTAATTAGTTCGACTCTTGGTCAGCTGACATAGTTGAGGGAAAAGATCAGAAAATTTATTTGTCAAACAAGAGTTGAGGAAGAAGAATATATGCATCAACCATATATGCTGCCAATCAAAGTTTGAAAACTACACAAACATGCAAATCAATACTGTCGAGAATTCCTAATAAATTAGAGTAACTGTCAAATTCTATTTGACTGTCCGTAAATATTTGATTTACAAATTTGTCTATAAAGAATTTATTCTCATATCTTTTTTCCATAATACCTGATCTTTGGTGTGGTCTAATTAGAAAGCTATTCTTTAATCTGATCTTTGATAAGATTGTGTGTTGTGCAACTTTAATGGATTATTCATTCCTATAATCTGTTTGATAAAATGTCTCTTAGAAAATTTGGATTTGATTTGTGCTTGTGTGTTGGTTCATTGCCTTTCTCCTCTATTCCTTTTGGTTTTCACAGGAGATATTTTTTGATTTCTTGCATTGGCACAAAATGTGACTATTGTTTAATTGTGTGGTCCTTTCGTAAAAGTTGGAGTCCGATTGGTGTGCGGGGTGCTATGTAGATTGTTTGAGCAGGGGCTGGTTAAACATTATCGTGTGGGTAGAGGTACCGTGCTGATTAGTCATCTCCTGTTTGCTGATGATTTGTTAGTGTTTTTGAGGGGGAATAAGAAGTCGTTGGTGAATTTGATGAATTTTTTAAGGCAGAATGAGGGAAGTTCGGGGCAAAGAATCAGTTTGTCCAAGAGTTCTCTGATTTGTTCTAAACTGATTTCTGTGGAGAGGAGGCTTGTTTTATCTGAATTAACTGGAATTCCGATGAAATCCTGTCCTTTTACTTATTTAGGGTGCCCTATCATTCAAGGGAGGGTAAGAGTTAGTTATTTTGAAGGGTTGTTGATCCAATTTCGTCAAAGATTGGAGGGTTGGTACACTTAGATGTTATCCAATATGGGGAGAGTTTTGATGGTTCAGTTTGTGCTTTGTGTTGTTCCTATGCATCTCCTGGCTTCTTTGAATTTGCCTAAAATTGTGATTTCTAAGCTTAACTCATTAATGGCCAACTTTGTTTGGTCTAATAGCTAATTCAGTTGCCGATAGGTTAGCTGCTCAAGCTGTGATGAGTGGACGGTCTTCTGATTTTACGTGTGGGGTTCGACTTCCTTGTGAGGTTGGGGTTGCTTTGTTGAATGACCAGCTTGGCATGCTTGTTCTGCGAAAGAAGAGGAGACTTGTTTTTTATGACAAAGGTTAATTTGTCTTTGAAAAGTGCTGATTTGTTTGAAATCTCTGGAAAGGTTGCTACTGTGATGAAGAGGATGACTGGGAGCAACTGTTTTTTGTTTTGAGAATTTTGATTGTTAGTATGGTTTTTGTTGTTTAGTTTTTGGTAGGCGGATGTGCCTTTTTGGTTTTTTATAAGGTGTTTGTGCCTTATCTTTGCTTCTTGTAATCCTCTTTGTGAACAAATAAAATTTTTCTTTTTCTTAAAAAAAAAGGGTTCATTATTTTTTCACGACTTTAGACTTTCACCAGACAAATGTGATTGTTGTTTGAATGCTCTAATTTCATACTTTTATTAATGTGAATTTTCTTTTGTGTACAATATTTTTTTTGTGTATCATTGTATGTATACTATATATTTGTATATGTGTACGCAATGATGTTAACAATTGTGACCAAATAAGTATTTTTACATCCAAACTGACTTTTTATAAAATACTTTAATTTAAGCATTTTTAAATTTGAATGTCTAAACAATACTTACTCAATGAAAGTGTTTTTTTATAAAACAATTTTGATAAACATTTATTGAAAAAGTACTTTTTGGATTTCATAAATCATCCCAAATGCAACCTTAGAATATCTTCTACATACATATAATCCTTACTTTTGCCTAGAAAAAAATGTTTTTTAAAATTAAAATTAATAAAATTTTATTTAAGATTGACTATATCAATAGAAAACTCAATTGAACTACCAAACAAGAAAAAAAAAAAATTCTATAATATAAAACAGAGCATGCTTCAATAAGCTCATCCGACAATCTCAAATAGACTAATTTAACAGTCACCAATATCTCTATCAAAACTATTCACATTGCACCGTACTTTCAGACACGGGTTACCTCTAGTATATAATATAAAACAGAACATGTTTTAATAAGTCTATTCGACGGTCTCAAATAAACTCATCCAACGACCACTAACATCCCTCTCAAAATCATTAAAATTGAATTTCCCCCCCCCCCCCAAATTTATCACTTCTCATTTATGTTACATTGTGCACGGATTATCCTCAGTCTATAATATAAAACATGACAGACTTTAATAAGCCTATCCGACGATCTTAAATAGACTCATCCAATAACCACCAACATCCTTTTCAAAATCATTCACAATGAATCTCCCTTTCCAAATTTATCACTTTTCACTTACGTTGCATCATACCTTCAAACACGGATTACTCCTAATATATCAATAAAGTTTAAAAAACAATATATTAATTTTACATTAAAAAAAATAAGTACACTTTAGACCCGGAATTGTCTTACAGTTGCCATGCTTGACGATAGCTTTTGCATAGTTTTAAGTGAAAATTGAGGCTAGGTCCTTCCAGATGGACTTATAATGATTTGAGTTCGTTAAAGAAACTTATTTAGTGATAAATCTATTTTTTATTTTACTAATAAGAACTTAAGTCTACTATTTTTTAAAATTCCAAAAATATCCTTAAGTGTTATTGTGGTTAATTATAGAAACCTTAAAAACCTTGAATGTAATTTTAAATTAATTTTTTAAATTAAAAATTATTATTCCTTAATTTACTCCTAAATTGAAATTTAATTTTATTCTCTCTCTCTCTCGCGTGCGCGCGCGTGAGTTAGAAGAAAACCCTCTCATTCAATAACAAATGCAAACTTTCACAATAACAATTGCAAACCGTAATGTAACATCTATTTTTTGCTTCACAGTAACATCAAATTTTTATGCACAGTGACACAATGACTTTAGCAAAACTCAGGAGAATATATGTTGCATAGTAAAATTAACAAGATATTTTTTACACAATAACATCAATAAAATATTTTTTTCCTTCATAGTAACAATAATTTTCGCTTATTTTTTATAAAATACGGTCCATAAATCAGAAAATTACTTTATTTAGAGTAGTAACACATAATCGTCAGTTGAATTAAGACACTCATTACCACTTGTAAATGTCAAGATATCAAATATGTAAAAATAATTTTCTTTTTCCCTTATAGTGACATCAACTTTTTCTCACATGTAACACGATCAAACATTTTTTGATTGTATTGCACAACAAAATATCCAAAAAATTGAAACCTATATCATTTAATTTAGTAACAATGAATCGCATTTTGAAATTAGGAATGCAAAAAACAATGAAAATTTTGAAAACTTGGAGGCTTCTTCCACTGGCTATGGTTAAAATACTACTATTTTTATTTTTAATTTTGTGCAATGTTCCATATTATTATTTTTTTTATGAAGCATATCACTATTTTTATTAAGTATGTTACTATTTTTGTTAAGTATGCTACTATTTTTATTGAACATGATACTATTTTTTGTTGAACATGTTACTATTGTTATTTTTTCATATTACTATTATTATTATTTTTTAAATATTAATATTGAATGCAATTGCTACTATTTTTCATACTTAAATGTTATTATTTTGTTATGTTTAAATGTTACTATTTTTTTTGTGTTTAAATTGTATTATTTTTTGTATTTAAATGATAATTTTTTTTTGTATATAAATGTTACTATTTTTTATTTTTAATGTTACTATACATACATACATATATATATAGAGATATATATATGAGAGAGAGAGATATAGTCTTAACCTATATATGAATATAGATAGATTAGTTATTTTAGGCACGGAGTAATTAAAAAAATGGTCAATAATAAATATATTTGTATTCACATCCAAAATCAAATCACAAACATAAAGAAGAGATAAAAAAATTTAAATACTGATTACAATAGGAGTAGGCGGTGTTAGTAATGATGGTGGGAGACGATGATGGTTGTGGTGGGTGGCAACAATCATGGAGGTGGTGGCAGCTGTGAGTGACAACAGTTATGGTGGTGGTGGGTTTTGGGTGACGATAATGGTAATGGTAGTCATGGGTGATGGTGGTGGTGGTTGTGAGTGGTGGTGGACGACGGTGATGGTAGTTGGCAGTGGTGGTCGTTGGCAGTGACGATGGTGGTGGTGGGCAACGATGAGTATTTCTAGGCGACAGTGTGATGGATGGTGGCGAATAATAGCGGTGGTAAGCGTGGTGGGTGTATATGACAATGGGTGATTGCAGTGGTAGGCGATGACGGGTGATAATAGTAGGTGCAATGACGTGGGGTGACAGTGGCTGGTGGTGATGGTAAGCGACGACGGGTGGTGGTGGGTTGTGGTAACGGGTGACAGTATGCAACAATGGTAATGGTAGGTGCTGACGGTAGGCGACGGTGATAGTGGGATGATGATGGTAATAAATATAAGAATAAGATGATGATGGTGGTGAGTATTGACAGTGAGTGACAATAATAGCAATTAATGGCAGCAGGACAGCGAGGGTGGGGTGGGGGTGCAAGTGGGGGTAGTGGCAACGGTGAGGGTTGGCGATAGTGGTGGTAGTTGTGATAGTGGTGGGAACAGTGGTGGGGCGGTGATGGTGGTGGTAGTGATGGTGGTGGGGCGATGGAGGTGGTGATGGCGGTGGTAAGGTGGTGGCAGCGATGGTGGTGGAGTTGTGGGTGTGATAGGGTGGCGATTGTGGCGACGGCAGCGACAGCGGTGGTGATAGTGGTGGTGGTAGCGATAGTAGTGGAGCGGTTTCAAACACTATATATATATATTTTTTAAAATACTTATAATAAATAATTTTTAGAAA